CACGCACACGCACACACGCACACACGCACACACACGCACACACACACGCGCACACACACGCGCACGCACGCACACACGCGCACACACACGCGCACGCACGCACACACGCGCACACACACGCACGCACGCACACACGCACACACGCACACACGCACACACACACACGCGCACACACACGCGCGCACGACGAGAAGCCTTGCGCAAGACAGCTTTGTGGGTCCCGGGGTCTTTGGTCGACCTTCGACCTCCGTGGGCCCTGGGGTGCCCACCTCGGGCACCGGGCGATCCTCCTCGGGGCACCCGCCCCGTCGATCCGCGGGAGCCCCTGGGGCAGAGACGGTTCCGCGGGGCACCTGCTGGCGGGCCGATCCCTCCATCGATGTGCCTGGTGTGCTTCCGCTCGCCGACGTTGCACGCAGCGGCTCGGAGCATCCCCCCCCCCCCCCCCCGAAGAGCGTGGTGCGGGAAGCCGAGTGGGCAGGACTGCTGCGGCGGACTGGAGAGCAGTCCTCGACGCGGGGGCGGGGCGGCAGGCCACGGAGGCAGAGAGCCGTGTCGCATGCGCCGCTGCGCCGGCGGAATGCCCCGCGACACTCACCGGAAACAGCTGCCCCAAAACTTTTCGACCCCGCTTGCACGATGTGCTGCTCGTCGCGAGCTTCTCTGCCCGTCGAGCCGAGAAGGCTCTGAGCCCAAGGGCCACGGCCTGGGCTGTCGCCATCGACCACCGATGTCGAAAAATACCAATGGTGCTGCAACAGCGACAACGCCCTGGCCGAAACTTGCGTAAACTAACACACATGATGTTTCTGCCATTTGTTTGTCTCCCAGCGGCTTCAGCGTTGACGAACGAAGGTCCTCGTTTCTAACACCACGTGTACCGATCAATCTTGAGCGATCGCAGCACTCGGATGCACCCAGAGGCTGTCATGTCCATCCACGTTTGTCGGAAGCTTGGGTCTCGCACCGTGGGTCGTTCGAAAAGCCTGGAAAGACTGGCCCGTGAACCAACGCCGATGGTGGCCCATGTTCCATCGTTATTGATCGATCCGCCGTTTCGCAAAAGCGACGATGGCTCAAGGTTGAGCGATCCCCGCGGTGTCAGGGACCAACGCCGAAGCCGTAACGACCCGAACCCGCCGTGGCCGCTTTTTCGAGGGGGGCCCTGGAAGCCGAACGAAGGCGGAAGGCTTTGCCTTGAGGCCTCGCCGCCGCGCCGGGGCGGCACGGTGACCTTCGGAGCAGGGCGGTTTGAGACACTGGGAGCTCAAAATCGGTAACCGGCCCCCAGCCGGGGCCACAAGGGAAGCACCGCTGAATCCTGGCAGACCCTGAGATCCGGGGTCGCGAACAAAGTGCAGCATCGTAGAACAAAATGTTAGCCAGCGTGTACCCCAGAGAGTGACTTATCGCATCGAGAACGAGAAGCGGACAGCTATGCGGCGTCAGCCATGTGGTGTGAGCTGGACAGTGGATATATAGTCGCTGTAACAAATGCGGTGTAAGCGTTGTCGTGAAGTCTATATGGAGCGAAATGACGGTAAAGTTAGATGGTGTAATCTACGTAGCATCTCCCAGTTGCGGATGAGACTGAGGAGGGGGCGGGGACGTCGGCAGTTTGCGAGGCCCTGGGGAAACCAGCTGCAGGCGCTGAATTTTTCAAATTTTACAACGAGCCCGCCGCATGTGCCACATTTTTCGTTAAAACAATGTGGGTGGGTCGCGGGTGGGTTGCGGTCCGGGTCGCTGATGGGTCGCGCGTGGGCCGCGGGGGGGACGCGGGCCGGGTCGCGGGCCGGGTCGCAGGTGGGTCGCGGGGTGGGTCGCGGGGGGGGGGGGGCGGACAACAACAACGCAGCGTCCAAACAGGCAGAATCCGCGCCGCGGAGTTCCGCTTCAGCCACGCACCCTGGGACAGTGAATGACCGCTCGGCCCCCTCACTCTGATGCAGCGCAATCAGCTCTTCCTCAGGAGGAGGAGGAGGAGGAGGAGGAGGAGGAGGAGGAGGAAGAGCTGGCGGTGCAAAGATTGGTGCTGTCAGGCCCTGTCGTGTGAGCTGCGCTGCGGCGCAAGCTCCGCGCACGGGGCCGCGGCCTCGGCAGGCCCTCTCAGCGAAACCGGGGCGACCACGGGCGCCCCACGAGGCGGCACGGGGGGCAGCGTGGCGAAGACTCCGTGGACCGGCCCAGCGCACGGGGCGCCAACGAGGCGCCCGCGCGGCGGCATGGCAAGACCGGCCGCCGGCAACGTATGTTATGGGAGGGAATCGCCCAACCATGTCGCTGTATTGTTCACAGGCTCCCCTTCAGCGTGCTCGTGCCCCCTCTGTGGGGGACCTGAAATGATGCTCCCCGGCTGAGGGTGCTCTTCCCTTCCGACCTTGCCCCCCCCCCCTACGCGGGCGAAACCTCAGCCTGCAGAAAGATGAGAGCCTGGCTATGGCCCACGAAGCACCCACGGGCGGCAACGCGGCGAAACCCGGGCGGACCCTCCGCTACCGCACGGGACGCCCGCGAGGCGCTCCGGGGGCGGGGCAGCGTGGCGAGACCTCGGCGGACGCCCCCCCCGTGAGCAGCGGCCGCCCAGGAGGCGCCAGCGCGCGGCAACGCGAAACCCGGACGGGCCCTCCCTGCGCACGGGACGCCCCACGGGGCGCCACGGAGGCGCCCACGGGCGGCGACGTGGCGAAGCCTCCGCGGACCCGCCGAATGCCTGAGGGACAAACGTGGGACCCCCCAGACGCAGACGCTGTCAGGGGAAATCTCGAACCCTGGACCCCGCCTGCCCTGCTGCGTAGAGGAAAGGTCCCAGTACCCTCAAGTTGGGCGTGTCCCCCTACAGGGGGATTTCGACGAAAAATAAAAAATACTCAAATGACATTCCAAATTTATTTTAAAAATACCCAAAAAATAATCCCCAGACTATTTACCTAACAGCGAAGACTGATAGGTTTCTAGTGGGGTCAAAAGAGAGCATCTTGACTCGCCAAAGGGGTCTGGGCGGATGCCGGGGGAATCCGGAGAATCCAGGGACTCCCCAGGACTCCTATAGATTCCTATAGTTTCCTATGGAGTTCCCAGAACACCATTCCCAGGCCACATTTTGAATGCCCGGAGCCAACTGTAGGCCACTTCGTGTTCTTCGTGTTCCCCGAACACCATTCCTGTACCATATTATTTTGATTGCCCGGAGCCAACAGTGGGCCACTTCGTGATCTTCGTGTTCCCAGAACACCAATCCTGTGCCATATTTTGAATGCCCGAGCTGAGGCAGGCTGAGGCTGAGGCTGAGGCAGGCTGAGGCTGAGGCAGGCTGAGGCTGAGGCTGACGCAGGCTGATGCCGAGGCAGGCTGAGGCTGAGGCCAAGGCAGGCTGAGGCTGAGGCAGGCTGAGACTGGACTGAGGCAGGCTGAGGCTCAGGCTGAGGCTGAGGCAGGCTGAGGCTGAGAGGCTGACGCTGAGGCTGAGGCAGGCTGAGGCTGAGGCTGAGGCCGAGGCAGGCTGAGGCTGAGGCTGAGGCAAGCCGAGGCAGGCTGAGGCTGAGGCTGAAGCTGAGGCAGGCTGAGGCTGAGGCTGAGGCTGTGGCTGAGGCTGAGGCAAGCTGCGGCTGAGGCAGGCTGAGGCTGAGGCTGATGCAGGCTGAGGCTGAGGCAGGCTGGCTGAGGCTGAGGCCGAGGCAGGCTGAGGCTGAGGCCGAGGCAAGGCGGGCTGAGGCTGAGGCTGAGGCTGGCAGGCTGAGGCTGAGGCTGAGGCTGTGCTGAGGCAGGCTGAGGCTGAGACAGGCTGAGGCTGAGGCTGAGGCAGGCTGAGGCTGAGGCAGGCTGAGGCTGAGGCCGAGGCAGGCTCAGGCCGAGACAGGTTGAGGCTGAGACTGAGGCTGAGGCTGAGGATGAGGCCGAGGCAGGCCGAAGCTGAGACAAGGTGAGGCTGAATGGGGGGGCAAGAGGGGGGGGGAGTAGCGGAGGCTGAGGCAGGCTGAGGCCGAGGCAGGCTTAGGCCGAGGCAGGCTGAGGCTGAGGCTGACGCAAGCCGAGGCAGGCTGAGGCTGAGGCTGAGGCTGAGGCCGAGGCAGGCTGAGGCTGAGGCAGGCTGAGGCTGAGGCTGACGCAGGCTGCGGCTGAGGCAGGCTGAGGCTGAGGCTGAGGCAGGCTGAGGCTGAGGCCGAGGCAGGCTGAGGCTGAGGCTGAGGCGAGCCGAGGCAGGCTGAGGCTGAGGCTGAAACTGAGGCAGGCTGAGGCATCCGTAGGAATCCATAGGAATCCTTAGGAATCCCTAGGAATCCTTGGGAATCCGTAGGCACCCTCAGGAATCCGTAGGCATAGTTAATCATCCTCAGGAATCCTTAGGAATCCTTAGGATTCCATTGGATCCTAAGGCCGTTGCCACTGTGACTGTCATTGCGAATGCGACTGCGACTGCGAGAACAGCAGAATTCTACAACTGGATTCTC